CGCATCTGTCCATATCCCTCCGTGCGCAAATGTACTACTCTGGGGCGCAAATAGGCTGTAGCCAGATTTAAGACATACTTAAGAGCGGATGTGATTATGCGGAGGGAAATTGATTGGAAGCTTAATCCTAACATTAAGCTGTGATGGTTTGGCATAGCGCCATATTTGAGCTCCGTATGACCAAATTGRTCTAAGCAATGACTTGTAGATAAGTATTTTATTATGAAAAAGAAGTTTGGATTTTAGTATAGGTCTTAGTAAATAAGATCTAGAATTTAGGGTCTTTGAATTTTAGGTWAGGACCCCAGGTTAATCTTTTATCTAAAATAATACTAAGATATTGGACTTGGGTTAAGGTGGGATAGAATCTCCTTGGATGGAGAGACTTGGCATATTTTTTATTTGAAAGTGAAGGGAATATGTACTGATTTGTAATTAATTTTAATTTTTCAGTTTGTAGACCACTTTTTTATATGGTTGAGGTGGAGTTGAAGATAATTGAATGCTTCGATCGGGTCTTTATTTGAGGATAAGATAGATGTATCATTAGTATAGGTAACTAGGATGGTGTTTTGGGTTTGGGGGATGTCTGAAGTAAAAATATTATACAGGTCAGGAGAGAGAATACTTCCTTACAGAACTCCTGCTAGGATTGGAAAGAGAAATGAAAAATAATTGCTGTGCAATGACGGACTTTAAATTTTGTATGTTCAAGGTATGAACGAATTATGCCTGGGTACCAGACTATGTTGTAGGCCTGAGCCACATCCAATTTATTATTTAAAAATAAAATTTTCTTTCTTTTTTGTTAGGAAAGATAATTTAAATTTACTATCTATACACAATAATATTACAATAAACAAATTTGATGTATTTATATAGAATAAAATATATCATGAATAACGTGTTGAGGAATTAACCCATTGGTAACACCYCCTTATTAATTTAATAGATCTCTACACCATTTACGCTTTAGTCTAAAAAAAAGTAAAAAAGTAAATTATTTTGGTTACCATTAGAATATTAAAAGTTATTGACGGTATAATGTATTATGTATATGTGTCAGTGGAATTGCGGTTTTCTTAAAAAAAAAAATGTTAGATGTTTGACATATTATATTTTTACATAGAACAAAAAAATATTAACACAGATAAAATGTTTAGTATTTTCATAAACCATAAACTTATATAAATATATTTGTAGTAAGTTTATATACCATAACCTATAGATTATACAAAATGGATCAGTAATTACTAGTTTTGTGATGGATAATTTAATTCGATGTGTTGTTAATTATTATATTATAATTATGTAAATATATGTATATTTTCTAGGATTTGCCATGATTTTAAGTAATGCTGTTATTATCATAATCTATTACTTACACTGTTTACAAAATAACCGCATAACTAGAAAATATTAGGAGGCCGAATAAAAATGATGAGGAGGAACTCCGTAGTAATTGAAGCTGTGGTTTCGATATTGATATGTTCAGTCATTAACGACGGTAACTTAATTTGTTTATACTTGCAATTGGATTTATTATAATTTATAATTATCTTAGCACAACTTCCTTAATACTGACTAAGGACTAGCTGTTTCAAAATATGTATGTATGGTTAAAACTGTAATTTTTTAAAATGTTATGTACAAAGTAATAATTATAATTGACATTATATAAACAATAGTTATTACATATTATTACAATAATTACATATAGGTTTTAATTCTGTTATAAATTATAAATTGAAAATGGATTGGTGTGTTTAGTTTTTTTATGCTAAGAAAATTATAATGACATTTTTTTATTGTATACGCTGTATACTATACGGAAACTGTTTGTGAATTTACGCATTCACGAAATGTTTTTTGATGGGAGCCGTTGTACCACGTATCCATATCAAAAGTCGCGTTTTCTTTTATATCTTCTATGACTTAAACTACAACGTACAACCACCACGTTTCGGATCTACATTAATGGTCATGGCCCATTGTATATTTTGTTGCACAATAATTCTTTTGTGAACGATATTATATAATAACAAAAATAATAATATAATATAATACTATTTATGTACATTGATATCCCTCGACAATTTCGTTTGCAGTTATTTTATTATAATTGCATTGAAATACAAAATTTACGAAATTCTGTGGTACCTACATCGTCGTTTCGTGCTATTAGGTATTACTTATCGCTTTTACTCGGTTTATGTATGAAAAACATATAAATTCAATTGTTCCATGGCTCGCGGTGTATTACTGTTAAAACAAATCAAATTGATTAGATTAACCCAAATAAGAATAATTATGCTATTGCCAAACATTCGAAGAATTGTTTCAATGTTTTTTTTTTTATCTTTATCAATATACGACGTGCTTATTGGGACGTGTTGGTGTATCTATTATTGGTTAACATCACACCATCTATATTTAAACGCCACACAAATATTATATTCATCTCATTTTATTCCAGTTGAATCGAAGCCGTCTTCAATTCGTTACGAATGAACATTACAATACATAACCTTAAAAATAAATAATAACACTCCATTATTTAATGGACATTCACGCTAAATTAATGTATTGTGTTTTTTTTATTCAGTACTTACTTTTTTAACAACTTCGATAATTTATTGTAAAAACAGTTTCAGGCGTATTTTTCGGTTCTAGTGATTTGACTTATTGGAGATGCAAATTCAAACAAACGTTTCAGTGTCCGGATCCCGACGTGACGTTTTTCTTGTACACGAGGTGTTTTAAAAAAACAATTATTTTAATTTATGATTGAAACTCGTGGCATACGATCGTATGTCTAGTTGCAAATGTTTCATTTGTTATTTGTAAAACAATACTTTTATATGAATTCTTATTATTTGTGTGTATATAATATATAGTGATCTCAGGAGAAGGATTAAAATCGATATGAGAGACAAGTGGTCGTTATACAACAGTGGTTGGAATCCAAATAAAAAAAACGCTATCGTCATACATGGGTTTAACGGAGCGGAAAATAATACGTACATGGTCATACTAAGAAACGGTAATATCTTTATTTAATTTAGTGCGAATTAACAATATTATAATGTATGTAAATAAATCAATATATATATATATATATATATATATATATAAATATTATACAATAATTACTTATTGGGTTGCAATTAACGGTTATTAAATGTATAATGTTTTGAGTCTGTGACACCAGCGGGGTTTGGTAGTATTTAAAATTGTTTTATAGTCTTAAGCATAGTAATATAGTATATAAGTYATCTCGATTTTAATAATAAAATGAATAGATACAATATTCGTTTTGATTAGGTATTGATTATTTAACTATTATTTTTACMGCAGACATCATGAAATATAATTTTTATACATAGTAAATTCCGCTCGATGTGATAGAACTTGTACTAAACAAGTAATTTTGGTCATATTATTATTATATTAACCGGTTGATTCCATGAAATATATATATTTTTTTACACACATATTTTATAAAAATAAAACACATTAAGCTTGTTTTTGAAAAAAACTTATTCAAAGATAAAAAAAAAAAACTATCAATATCTATAAGTATTTTAAGTTGATTGTGGTTGATCGTGATTTATGATTTAAATCCGTAATATATTATTTTCCATATTAGCCTAAAGTTAGGTAAGTTATGACTTATGAATATGATTATTCTAACTGCTCGGATTTTGACTACCATTTTTTTTTAAATTAAGCCTCAACAACAAAGGTTATTGGCTATTAACATTAATATTTTTTAACACAAGTATGAAGCATTAATAATAATATATACATAACAATAATGATAGTATAAAAAATGAGATCGAAATATATCTAGATTATATTAGTTGGTATAGTTTAGTTAATTTTAAATAATTAATTAATTTTTCTATGTTGATTGGCTGTGMACTTAGAGCTTCTTCCAGGTTCTCTTACTATACCATTTTTATACGTACCTAATTAACTACATAAACCTTTAAATTGACAGCTATATATAGAATGGTCTGTAAAAAATATTCTACATTTTTCATAAAACTTAGAAAGGTCAATTTACCATTATTATCATACGTTTGGGCACGTTTTCCCTAAACACAATACTAGGTTGTAACATTTCTCTATATTAGCACGGTTTACGCTAAAAAAGTTTTCTGTTATACGCCCTAAGGTATTTTAATAAATGCTCCCATAAGTGTTTACAATATACAGGTACATTTTTGATAACATGTCATAAATCATAATATTATGATTTAGCTTGAGTTTAAATTTTTTTAATCCAATAAACATTAGGTTGCATACAGTCATAGGCGTAACTGGGGGGAGGGGCTTGGGGGTGCTGAAGCACCCCAGCCTTTAATTTAKTACTCCCAGATCAAAAACACCAAAAAATGGAAAAATTATATATGAAAAAGTTTTTTTTGTTTTACGTAAGGTTGTTTAAATATTGAAAGAGATGTTGTTAATAACATTACTTCTTCAGAAATATTGGAAATATATTCCAATTCCTCTAATAAAAGAAAAATAGTATTAGTGTAAAATAGTATATTATATATTATGTAAAGGTAGTATTATTACCTAACCTTTGAGATGATTGTGCCTCATGTAAGTGACTGCTAAAAATTTAAATTGTATAATTATTTTGACATCAGTTATTAAAAAAATAAATATTATTTATCTGTTTATACTAGGTCATTATTTGAATCACCTAAATAATAATATAGGTAATATACCTAATGTATTTATGAGGTAAATATTAGTGTGCTTATGTTTTTATAATGCATTTAAGATTGGTTATAGTTAGACTTAGGAACTTCTAGCATTTGCATATTTTAGATTCTGAGCGGAGCGATGAATGTATTGATTTTACCATGATGTGTGTTTTTTTTTT